TAGCTCAGGAGGCTGAAATCTAGAGGAGCATAGTTCAAAGCCAGCCAGGACAGAAAAGTCTGCGAGATTCCATCAAAGTAACCAGTGAAATGCCAGGCTAGAGGCATGGCTTAAGTGGTACAGCACCAGCCAAGTAAGCAAGCCAAGCAAGAGGGAGGCCTTGAGTTCAGACTCTGGTACTGGCAGAGAAATGCATTGTCTTAGTTTGGGCTGCTATAAGAAAGTATCATAGGGGCTGGGAAGGTGGCTCAGTGGTAGAGTGCTTGCCTTGCATGCTTGAGGCCCTGGGTTCGATCCCTCAGTACCACATAAGCAGGGAAAAAAAGCCGGAAGTGGTGCTGTGGCTCAAGTGGTAGAGTGCTAGCCTTGAGCTGAAGAGCTGAGGGACAGCGCCCAGGCCCAGAGTTCAGGCCCCACGACCAGACCCAAAAAAAAAAAAAAAAAGAATGGGAGGTTTAGAGAGGGAGTGCTCTCCTGAAAGTTCTGAGGATGAAGGACCAGAGGCACTAAGGGGAGGGGAAGGCTACTGGTTGTGGGTTTGTGTCCAAATAATTTTCTATGTCAAGAGGACAGGGCCTTTCCTTGTTGTTGTTGTTTTAAATGTACTATGTGACTTTTTTGTTTCCTTTGTATGTTCTTCCCCCTATGGTATATCCCCTGCTGTCACTGTACTTGATTTTGGTACCCTGCATGTTGTATATACATTTGTCTAATTTGGGGAGGGGAAGGGGAATAACAAAACGCTGAAACAAGGACACAGGATGACTTATTGCAACAAGGATACCCACAAGACAGTATATTGGAATTCAACTTTACAACTTTGCTGGGGGAGGAGTGAGAAAGGTGGGGAGGGAAGGGGTAACAATGCTCAACAAGATACGTACTCATTCCCTTACTCATGTAACGGGAACCCCTCTGTACAGCATCTTTACAATAAATAAAAATTTTAAAAAGAGAACAGAGCTTGCAAACCCAAACCAAACATCTTCAGAGTATCTGTAACTATTACATGGTAACTCATACATGTAACACATTTGTTTATATGTAAAATATTAAAAATTGAGCACAAAGCTGGGTGCCAATGGCTCATGCTTATAATCCTAGCAAAACAGAAGGCTGAGGTCCAAGGATCATAGCTTAAAGCCAGCTCAGGAAGGAAAGTCCACGAGACTTTTTTTTTTGGTCTGGTCGTGGGGCCTGAACTCTAGGCCTGGGCGCTGTCCCTCAGCTCTTCAGCTCAAGGCTAGTGCTCTACCACTTCAGCCACAGCACCACTTCTGGCTTTTTTCTTTTTTCTTATATGGTGCTGAGGAATCGAACACAGGGCCTTATGCATGCAAGGCAAGTACTCTACCACTGAGCCACCTTCCCAGCCCCTCCATGAGACTCATCACCAATTAACCACCAAAAGCCAGCATTGGAGCTGTGGCTCAAGTGGTACAGTGCTAGCCTTGAGGGGAAAAGCTAAGAACAGAGTCTAGGCCCTAAGTTCAAGCCCCAGTACTGCCACAAAAAATGAATAAATATATATAAAGAAAGATATAAAAGTTGAGTGGCATGTGCTTATAGTTTCAGCTACTTAGGGGCTGAGGCAGAATTGCTTAAGCACAGGAATTCAGGAGCAATGTGACAAACATAGTGAGACCTCTCATCTCAAAACAAGAAAATGAGTGAATATAAAATATCCAAATGAAGCTAAAGAGGGGTATATGAACCAGAGAATGATATTTATAGATGAAGTCTTCCCACCAAACTCTCCCTTTCCCCCAGTCATTTAATGATCCTGTGAGCCCTAATGAACCCCAGATTTCCCCATAGAAACCAAGGTGTCCAAACAGCACAAGAAAGAAAGAATTTAGAACTTTGCCCTTTGGGGATTTTTTTTTTCTGATGGGTGTACAGCAGGGTTCAGAAGGTCCTCATTTTGCCTAGCCCATCCGCTGGGTGACTTGAAGGCAGCTAGCATTGTTCATGATCCTGTAAAGTCAGGGTTTTTTTTTTTCCTTCAGTATAGGGATTAAGCCCAAGGCTTCCTCTTGGTAGACAGTTTATCTTGCATTTGAACCAAACTCCCAATCACTTTGTATTTTTCTTTTAGAGATAAGGTCTGCTTCTCTTTGGCTAAGCTGGCCTCCTACTCTCAGTTCTCCCACTTCTCTGATTTTTAAGTTGCTGGGATTAAGGAATGTAACACCACACTCAACCTTTTCTTTGTTTGTTTGCTTCTTTTTTGTTTTTCTTTTTCCTTCCTCCCCCTCCACTAATTCCCACTCCCCCCCTCCCAGGGTTGTGGGGCTTGAACTCAGTGTCTAGGTGCTGTGAGCTCTTTTTGCTCATAGCACTTCGAGCCACAGTACCACTTCCAGTTTTTGAGTGGTTAATTGGAGATAAGGGTCTCATGGACTTTCCTGCCTGGGCTGGTTTCGAACTGTGATCCTCAAATCTCAGCCTCCTGAGTAGCTAGGATTACAGGCATGAGCCACCAGAGCCCAGCTTATTTTTTTCCCTCTCTTTCTCTTTCTTCCCCCCCCCCATCCCCACCCTGCCTTTCTTTTTCCAAACTGGGGATTGAACCCAGGGCCTTGCACTTTCTAAAATACCACTGAGCTACATCCCCACCCCAGGTCAGGATTTATTCTGCCCATTCTGAAGAAGAGGTTACAGAGAATGAGAACATTATTCACCAGTTTACTGGGATTCTTGCGCTTTTCTATCTCATGGGCCCCAAAATAAGCACTGGCATCTCAGTTTCTTCCTCTGCAAAATGGGATATTTAGGCAGGAGAGGTTAGCTGGGAATGAGGGAACCACCAGTGCAGGAAATTGGTGAGACCTGCAGAGGGCAGCAAGGAGCCATGAAGCTGTTTTGAACCTTCAGGCTGGGTCCCCAAGGATGGTTTGGCCCAGCCATCATAAACACACCATCATTGCCTGGAACCACATGCTATAAATTCAGGCCTATTTAGTTTGTTCCACCCAGGCACTTTATACAAGGTGCTCACAGTATTTTACAGATGAGGATAATAGTGAGGCCCAGAGAGAAGGGAAGGGAATTGCCAAGGTCACAAAACTGGAAGTCAAAGACAGGAACTGGGCCCAGACTATCTGGCTGTTAGCTCTGTTTAGTTGTTGTTGTTGTTGTTTTCTTTTTCTCTTGACTGGAAATTATGGCATCTGTTTTTCCAGACACTGGAACTAGAAGGAATAACCTCTCATATCCACCCAGAATAAGAGTTTCAGAAAGCAAATGCTAGGGTTCTCATTTCAGTGCACAGCAAACTACTAAGATATAGAGAGGGAAAAGCGATCAGGACTCAAGGCCCAGTTCATTGGCTGCCAAATCCTATTTTCTTTTCCCTTTACTCAGCTGGCAGGTTGAGTGCTTTCATTTTGTATTCATCTGACAGTATGCTCCACGGTGTGTCTCAGATCTCAGGGCTTCCTAGAGGATCATCAAAGATGGAGTTTTACTACATGCTCTGGGCTTTCTGACCTTTCGACTAAGCCCTGTGGGCAAGGTAGAGGCTGGTAACCCCTTTAGGCAAAGACTAATTAGGTAAGTTCTGCATCAGCTAGACCTGGGAAAAACTACACTGGCTTCTGATACTCACAAAAACACCACCCAGTGCACCTGTAGGTAGAAGTGGCGGTGAGTGATTTAAAGGGGGGGAGGGGGCAGAAGAGGGGAGGATAAGTCCTAATTATCACCCTGTGCTATATGTGTCTGGCAATCCTGTGTGACAGTGGTTGCTTCATTACTCCCTCCAGGCTTGTTGGTACACTAGCTGCTGCCTCAGTGACTTAGCCTGGTCTTAGCTGTCTCACTGGGTGACCAGCCCTGGCCAGCTGTTCTCTGGATTAAGCCCCAGTTGGAGTTTCTTAGCGTGTTGCTCAGGTCCCTAATGCTGGCCAGGGTGCCAAGCTTTGGTGCAATGAGCTAGGTATTCCAGGTGTGTGGAACTAGACCAAGACCTTATGAGGCATCCCTAAGCTGACAGGCAGGTTCGCTGCCGGCGTGGCTTCCGTTTCCCTCCGCACTCAGAGGACCACGGGGGGGGGGGGGGG